TGCTGCCTCTTGTCCGCTGCGAAATTACGAGCAGCTCGGGCAGCAGGCTAAATGCTGCTGCAGTGATGATTTCTTCATTGTTTTTCTTAGCAGTGCACAGGGTCACATTGCGAAACAAGAGTGACCTTCAATAAAGTGGGACCAAATAAGATATCTCGTTAATCACTTTAAAATGTGTGTCAATAATTCAGTCACAGGGCAATTGCATAGCCGATTTACAAAAGGAGACCAGAAATATGGAGCTGACAAACGACCGATGCAAGCACCACTTATCCTCTGCATCTCCTTTCCTTGCATTACGTAATAATCATCTTCAATATAATATGATAATGATATGATTATGTACACATTTGTGTATAAGTAAGTATCATATTATGTATTTCTCATCCCAAATTAATTCGTTGACACTGAAAATATACCTTCAGATGGTTCTTGCTCAGTTTGGTTTCAACCGTTTGGACAAAACTCTGTCCAAACGGTTTCACCCGTTTGGACTATTTATTTTTATCATTTTTTAATTTTAGCTATTTTAAATATCTACCTACTTACATTTAATATGCACATCTCACACAATAATTTCTCAATATATCACATTGAAATCGAAAATATATACATACACAAAAATGTCTCAAACAATGCTAAATATCCAATATTATATATACATACACAATGATTACTCAATATATAATATTAGAGACAAAGCATATACATATGCAATGATTACTCAATATCTCTGTGTTGAAAAATTTCAAAAGAGATGTATCATATAATAACATTCTATTCCACTATCTGAACATTCATTCTCGGTAACTCAAGTGTACACCCCGCAATCTAGGCTACTGCAAGTACAAAAATAGGAAGTACAACTATAAAAATTTTCATGGAACCGCAATATATAAATTCTATGTATCGGCAAATATAGCAAAACAACATAGGAATAGGTTGAATACACTCACCCACGTTGTTGCGGTACATCAACACTTTCTATCTCATGACAAGAGCTAATATCTATATTCCACTCATCGGGGATGGATGTCATAAGCTTCGCTCTAAAATCATTGGCATCGGACATATATCCGCATAGAGAAGAGTAATGATGAAACCTTTTCTCTTTTATAGATAACACCAACATATGCCAATGAAATGAAGTTAGAAGTGGGAAAATAATCTTATCAAGTGCGACGAAACGTGTACTAGTTATTGGCTTAAACATGCGTTCGACACTTGACGGATTATTTTCGTTTATGCATCTCTACAAAAAACCAAAGAGAGAATTATTTTTAGTATCGAAGATAATACATGAATAATACTTATAATCTCCAATCGAGAATCCACTTACAGTAACCCATGGACTGCAGATGTGTATGTTCTTCGCATAATTTGGACGCATCTCCATCAACATATTTAGAAGCACAACATAGGAGGCTATAACCTGAAATGCACATAATAAAAAATTAAAGGTTATATGCTACATGCATTGTGTGAAACGCAAGTACAAAAAAGGGAACTTACGTCGCAACCAATTGCTTCGCCTTTAAGTAATTCCAATGCATCCTTACGAGTTACCAAAGCATCACTTGATGACCACACTAATGTCTCCCTACATATGAAAAAACTTACTAAATATGTCGATGAAAACACAATAAAAGTCATAAAAATAGGTCTTTCGATATTCCTTACATTGTCATCTTTTTGTCCCTCCAAAAGTTATCGAGTACTTCTCGTTCATCATCCCTTACTTCCTTCCTTCCCGGGTATTTTGGTACACCTTTAGGATTATAAAGCGGGACAAAGGGATCACGTGTAGATGGTCCGGCGAGCCGCGATCTTGATAGAACCGTTCGTTTAATGGAAGGGGTTCTACGCTTGCCTTCAATCACCGCAATATCGCGCGGGCTAAGCAGAAAGTCGTCATCATCCGGTTCAATTGACTCGTCGACAACATCATCATTAGCACCATCTCCACCATCATCATCTCCACCATCATCTTTTTTATCTACATTCATTCTATCTACATCTTCATCCTCATCCACATCACCACGATCCCCCTCATCTCTATCATCCTCCTCATTCCCGCCATCCTCATCGCCGCCATCACTATCATCTTCATCATCCCCGTCATCCTCATCTCCGATATCACTATCGACATCCTCTTGCCTTCCACCGAATATTTCCCTCTTCATCTTCAAGAGAAGGTTTAATTCAACTTTCTTTTCATGGATGAGCCGATCCAAATCAGCTTCAGTGATTATCTACATGTAAACAACCCAAGCACAGTTACATTCATGAATAAAACCAACGAAAGCATAGATAATTCACCAACATCAAATAATAAGTTCTATTTTAGCAAAAAGCACATTAAATTACTATTTGAACCCACATAATAATTGGAAAAGTAACATTACATACAAATAAACCATTATACCTTTCCCTTGAATTTTGAAGAGGTAGCTTCTTTAGTGGAAGTGGCGGCTTCAGCAATCCTCTTTTGAAATTGTAGAGACCTCGAGCCCTTATGATATTGGCTAAAATTATCCGGGTCTCTAATTAAATTGTGCAATGCATTCGTCCGTAAAGGTTTTGGACACTTGTAGAAGCTTAGGATGGGTGGTAGGGATTCAGCTCCTACACGAAGGCTTAGCTTTCCGACAAGCTCATAAAACCATATCTGTGAACATTTGATAATTTTAGTACAACAGTAAATATGACTAAATGAACTAAATATATAAAATGAAAAATGACATAAATATAGAAAATGTTAACTTACCACCAAAACCGATGCAAAGCCCCCTATATAACCACCTCTACTTCGATTTCCCTCCGACCTCTTGGTGATGGTCTTTTTAGCCTTAACCATCTCAGTCCTTAACACACTGAACACTGCTTCAGCCCAATTGTACTCATTAAGAGTGTCCAATTTCTCCGCATATCTAAATGCAAATAAAGGGCAACCCATATTAGCTTGAGGGCATAATATAAAGCCTATGATGAAAGCCACGAGCATCTGTGGCACAAGAGGATCTCTACGCTCAGCCATCTCCTGAATAAGTTCACCCATCCTACCCCTTCTAGCACAAACAATCTTCTTCTTTTCCTCGTTACTTTTCTTCTTTCCTCTCCTAGTCCTACACTTGCTATCCTCCACGATTTCTGTCTTCGACCTAAACGATAGCACGAGCTTGTAGATTGTCTCGCGATCGCTTCTATGGAACCTCGTGTCTACAATAGATCCTCCCATCGGAAGACCCGTAATTCTTGCAACATCTTGAACACTAAAAGAGGTCCATTTTCCTCCAATCTTGAAGCTATTTTTTTCAGCATCAAAGACTTCCAGCAAGCAATCCACTAGAACAGGGTGAATTGGAACATTAGCAACATCCAAATACCCAACGAAAGGTGTATCTCGAAGGGCTGTCCGATGATCCTCCAATGATGTAGAAGAAATATGATTTTGGAGGAGGTCCCGGAAGTAGCTAATATTTGATGGAATTCTAACCACATCCATGGTGTGCTTTTCTGCAACCAAAAAAAATTAAGCCAACGTTAGTATCATATCAATATTATACTTTTCGAAAATGGATGCATAGTGAATATCCATTCTATCCCCGGTGAATATTTCTGTGATGTATGCCGTATGCTCATTATACCAAACGAGGCTTTTCAAGCACAATGCGCACATTTATACTGTAAACGGTGCCTGTCCTTATGATGGCTATACTGTGACTGAAGCAAGCTCTAAGGTTTATTCTTCTTTCGTTTTTCTTTTATTTTTTACATGAGTCTGAAGTTTACTTAAATTTCTTAACATCAAAACTGCAGCCTCTGGTAGAATCTAGCAAAGAACTTGTAGAGGCCATTGGCAAAGTAGTTGTACACTGGGGAGAAAGAGAGAGGGGCGTTTTGGGGTTTTAACCGTGTGGTGCTTTGGATTATTTAGTTTAAATTGCAAATTATCTTCAGTTGAATCATAAACACTCGCAAAGTAAATATAAGTTCAATGACAGCCATTTGTTTCACTGCAACTATCAGCAACAACTAGCAAAAGGGAAGCACTTTCACATAAATGACATCAACTTGCAAAATTTTGTGCTACAGAGTGGTCCAGAAGCAAGTTAATGCATCCCCATAACTTCAGATTTCAAAGTAGAAGCACAGATTTCAAAGTAGAAGCACAGATAAGGCCTAGGTCATACAAATATAGCTCCATAATTCAAAATGCTCAACATAAGGCACATCCAACTATGGAAAACCTCAATTAGAAGAAAATATTACACAATCAAACAAATTGAAGTACAGGAGCATACTTACTTAACTCAAGGCATAGAGACAGATAGCAGTCAGAGCATACTTACTAAACTCAGGGACTGCGACGACGACGGGCGAGGTCACTGCGGCGAGGTCACTGCTACGTGGTCACTGCGACGGCGACGGGCGACGGCGAGCGGCGAGGTCGAGATCAAGACTACGGCGAGCTCTGTGCGTGGTCACTGCGACGGCGAGGTCGAGATAAGGCGACGGCGAGGTCGAGATCAAGGCGACGGCGAGGTTGAGAAATTTTACTATGTTTTTGTATAAATACATATGTCTACATTTACTGTATTTTGTAATTTGGGCTTAAAGATAAATACCCAAAGATCTTTGGGTTTATGGATACATGAAATAGTAAATGGGTTTATAGGTAAAGATGGGTAATCATTTGGGCCTAGAAATAAAAAACCCAAATTTTTAACTACGTCCTCATAGTCAATATACCTACCCACGGTCAAGATCTAGCATCCTATCCGAATTATGCATATAGGAGTGCAAGGATTTTCATAGTTAGTATAATAGTCAGAATTATCAAATTAACCATCTAACCACGCGTGAATAGTATAGATCACCCATTTTCTATAAAATATTTTGATAGAATTTTTACTCGTCAAGATCAATAATTTAAAAATACATACGCCGCTCGTCTAGATTTTCCGCTTGTCATGATCTCATTCTTTGAGGGAGAGATCGAGTGGGTTCTCCGATTCGTGGGGGTTAATTTTAAGGAGCTTGGATTGATTCATGAGGAGGAAGGGGGATTTCGGGGATAAAAATGAGATCTTTTGTGCGTTTTTGACGAGGGAAGTTGGGGATTAGGGGTTTGTTTCCTTTTTTTTTAGAGGGAAAGGTGGAGAAAACCTGCCAAAAATACAGCTTTTAGCAGGCTTTCCACCCAAATCGTCTCTAAAAAGATAATTTGGGTGGAAAGCTTGCCAAAAGCTGCACTTTTGGCAGGCTTTTGACAGGCTTTCCTCACCTTTCCCTCTCAAAAAAAAAGGAAACAAACAGCCCCTTAATGAGTGGGTTTTCGCATAGCGTTTTCTTTCTTTTTGGGCTTTTTAGATATTAGCCCCTCAAACTTCAATAATTCCTTCTCGGTCTCTCAATCTTTGATATTGTTCATACATCCCGGACATCTTTGAAATTGCTCAAATGTCCGTCAACTTTTCAAGGGTCTTACAAATTTGTCCTTCTGTTAAGCTTCAGTTAGGTCTCGAAACCATGATTAGATTAGCTCTTAGTCCACAACTCTCAATTAGCATACGGGAATTTTGTTGCTTATGATTTCAGAGTCAAATCTTGATACTTTCATTATTTGCAAATTTAGCTTGAGATCGTATTGTTAATCAAAACATCATTCTGTAATTCTTCAATCAGAAAACTTAACTTACAATCAGAAAAAGAGAAAACAAACAGTTCTTACTGCAGCACCAAAATAACATGAAACTTTGAAAAATTATCTACAGTTTATCCATTCTATCTATTCAACTACTTTAGAATTTGTACATTATGGGTTCATATCTGAACAATGTTTGCTCCAAGCTTTTTATTGTTCTGCATCTCGCAAAACATCGCCCGATTGAACATTTAGACTCTTCAGCTTGTTTCTTCTTTCGTTCTCATCATAGCTGCGAACTCACTGTAATCTATCTGCCCATCCTGCAACAATTAAGAGAATTATTCACCAGAAATTTGTGTGAGTAATGCCTCCAAACTTTTTTGCATTACCAGAGAACACACATTGTTTTGGTTGATTTCTTTGATCATTTCATCAAGACGGACATCACCAAGGCCAAAATCTGTACACACTTGTGAGAGATCGTCGATGGTTATGTTGCCATTCCCGTCTTTGTCAAAGAATGAGAAAGCATTCCTCAAGTTCTCCTCTATCTCCAACTTACTCAGGTGAAGAGTTGCAGCGAGAAATTCATTGCAGTCTATTGTGCCATTGTTGTCTGTATCAGCCTATGAAGAACATAAAAATGTATAAGCAACTTGTCAAATAGTTCTAATATGAATGGCCTAATACATACCCCTTCCATAAGAGCTTGGATCTCAGAATCCATCAGATTCGATCCTAATTTTCTCAGACCCTTCTTTAGTCCATCAAATGTGATTGTACCAGCATTGTCGGTGTCGAAGATTTTGAACAATTTCTTTAGACCAGCTATCTCTTCTTCTGACATGTTTTCTGCTATAACCTGCAATATATAAGCAGATAATACATCAAAATACCATAATATATGCTATATGTAAAGCTCCTGAGTCATATAGTGTTCCTTTTCATATCCGCATTGCCTAAAACTCTAAAAAAGAAAAGTGCACAGAGCACGGTTGAGTGAAAGAGATACGGCATGTTTATCATATTGCCGTAACTGAATTTGATTAAACTGAGATTTGAATACTTTTATGAATGACTATAGCCATGGAAAAAAGTGCAGCAAACTTACAATCCTCAGGACCGATTTGAAAAGAATACATAAAGCAGTAGGGCTTACTCTCAAAGCCATTTTCTTTAATTTGTTCATTGCAGAGAATCGCTGCAGTCGTGATAAAACAGCAGACTCCAAGGGTTTGACAGGAGCAACTCCATCCCCAACAATCCATGGGTGGCCTGCAAATAGCCATTGACAACTTCAATTACACTTAACAAAACTTTTGGTGATTAAAATTCACTGAAATACTCACAGAGAACTTGATGAGCTGTAAATCTTTTCTTTGGATCACGATCTAGCATTCTAAGTACGAGATCTTTAGCACCATCAGAAATGGATGGCCATGGTTCAGATTCTAAATCCAGAGGCATTTTTAAGATCTGATCGAAGGTCTTCCCGAAGCTCTCAGTGTCGTCTTCTGAAGGTGACATGACAGAAAAATATGAACTTCTGAAAATACCGTAAACTATTATTATTAGAGAAACGTAAGATGAAATTTCAGAGCTGTAAAAAACTACCATGGACTAATAAAAACTGTTGGTAAACTACTCATTCGTATGAATTAAACCACAAAATTCATAAGGATAAAAGAGAAGATATATATAACACAGGAGAACAAAACTCTAGCAATCGTTAGACATGGCACTTTACTGAAAATATTACATGGTATTTTGTGAGATTTACTCTTAAAAAAAGATACAAGAGGAGAGGTACCATATTCAGTTTACCTGCGTCAAAGGGACAATACCCTCCCAATAAAATGTATAAGATCACGCCAGCACTCCATACATCTGCCTCTAGGCCGTATTTTCTATTCAATACCTCCGGTGCAATATAATGAGGAGTCCCAGTTAATTCGCAGAATGTATCACCTGACAAAACAAAAGTATCAATACAGGTTGTGTAAGTTGTTTTACTGGTGAATTAAACAGGTTCCTAAAGTCCCAACATATATTATTCTGAAAAAATAAAAAATAATAAAACCTCCAGCATTTTTATATATCAACTATATAACTAGTTCAGAGATGTCACGGGAAGACATGGATGTGAGAAATGCTGTGAAGTGTACATGTTATGATCATATAAGAATATGTCCGTCCGCGGAACATATGTAATGGGCATCATAAAATATCATTAACATAATCTTTAACGAAAACTAATATGTGACATGGTGCTTAATCCAAGAGCTGATACAAAATAATAAAGTGGTTTATTAGAAAGAAATACTTACTCCTATGACCAAGAAATTGAACAGAACAAGAATTTATCCAGGATGTGCTGAATTATTAATAATTTTCTATCAACTAATTCAACAGATAAGTCATAACTAAGCGTATACTTGTTCAGTTCACATTTATCATAGTTTTGATAAGATTTCTACATCCCGTCCCTTCAAGATTAACAAAAAGAACTAAAACCCTGATGTGATATATAACTCAAAAATAAACAAGAAACAATAAAAACTTAATACCCACCAGGCTTATAAAAGACCGACAATCCGAAATCAATAGCCTTGAGGGCAGCATCCTCATCTTTACTCACAAACAAGAAATGATCAGGCTTAAGATCTCTATGCATCACCCCAAGAGAATGGAAACCCTCCACAACTTCAACTATCGTCTTAATCAAACACGCAGCCTTCTTCTCAGTAAAAGGACCCTCGTCCCTAATTCTGTGATACAGCTCTCCACCTTCACAAAGCTCCATCACCAAATGAACAGACTCAGAATCCTCATAAGCTTCCTTGATTCTGACCACATTTGAAAGCTCAGAGACATGGTGCATGATCTCTATCTCATTCAAAACATCCTCATAGTCTTCTTTGAATTTGAGCTTGCTCTTTGGGATTGACTTGCAAGCATATTGTTTGCCATTTGATTTGTCAGTGCAGAGGTAAGCAGTGCCATATAGACCTCGGCCAAGCTCCTTGCCGAGTGTATAATGATCTGTGAGGTCTGGGGTCTTTTGAGGGAGAACAGAGTCTGGCTTTGATGAAGAAGAAGAAGAAGAAGATGATGATGATGATGATGATGACTTCTTCATGTTGAACAAAATCAGTATCTGGGTTTTGCCAAGAAATGAGTGCTGAGAGTGGTTTCTTGAAAAAAGACTGGTTCTTCTTGCTGATGGGTTCTCAGGCCGAGTTTGAAGGATGTGAGATATGTGTCCTATGAAGATTGAATTTTGATGAGCGGTTTTTGAAGTTGCAAGAATCAAATGGGTTCTGGCTTTTTGGTTTTTTGATGGATTGGATTTTGTTTGCTCATTGGAAGAATAAGGAAAATTCTAGTATCACATACGATGTAAGATTTTGTTGTTGGATTTTGTGGGGAATTAAAGAAAGACACATGGGGCTTGGGTTCAGATGATCCGCTGGTACATGATTAGATGTAAATAATGAAGTAACAGTTTGAGATTTGGTTGTGGTTTCTTTTGAGGCGAAACTGGTGCTAACGTGGCCTAGCAGAACGGAGAGTGTGACAGTTATATACAGTTAGTATGTGGATTTAGGACAAAGGTACAAGTTCACATAAGCCCCAAAATTTTGGTTTTGTCACTTAACCCCCAAAATTTCAGCCATCCACAAAAACGCTGTCATGTATCCAATTTTTTCAACATGGCCCCCTGACGCGTAATGGTTTTTCTCTTCGCAACATTATCAAAAGTTCATGGCAGGACTTTTTTTTAGTAAATATTTTAGATTGATAGGGAAAATGCGTGCTATATAGATAGGTCAGCATTCTGTAAACCTCTGAGATGAAACCATTATTGAAAAAAACTCAGGTAAACAACAATGAAGATGAAACTTCTACAAGAGATTCACTTGGATAGGAATGAGCAAATGGTGGGTTCTGTCTGTTTTGGTTCGGTCTATTCAATTCCGAGTTGAGTAGTTTAATTAAGGAAAAATTCTATATAGACCCAAAAGAAATATGCATATCAAAATGAAGAAATTTGTGAACTAACGAAAATAAAAAAAAGGTATGTTTTAGACAATTAAGAGAGCAGCCAGCTTGTTCAGGCCAAAATTTTCTCAAACTGACTCGACCAAAACACATTATGAAACTGAACACGACTGGCAAATTTCAGTCAGTTCGGTTGGTTTAATCTGTTTGAACTGATTAATACTCACCCCAACTCGTAGCACAATGCCAGATGATTATAGACAAACAGTTCTTAACAACTAAAAAAAAGAGAATGAAACTTTCAGCTCCCACAAGATAAAAGAGAATTTATTGCTCAGGCTACAGCTAATTCATGAGCATTTTGTATCCATAAGTAATGCATATTGAATTCTTTACAACCGTCATGTAAGAAACAGAATGAAAAGAAAATGACAATGTATAATGCACAAAGATAACACACTTTAATAAAGTTAATATTAGAAAATGAAACTTTCCAAAATTATCTATAGTTATCACCATTCTATTTATCCAATTTCTTCATCATTTGTTCATTCAGGATACTGTTCTTTTGTACAGAATATAGTGTAACATCAGTTCATGTATGTATCTTCGAGCTATTTAATGTCTCCTCCGAGCTATTTAATGCTCTATTTTTCTGCAGTTCCCATTCTCATCACGGCTTCAAACTCGCTGTAATCTATCTTCCAACCCTGCAATAAGAGAATTCATTAGAAATTTGCTTAAGTCACGCCTGAATGCTTTGCATTAGCAGAGAACATACCTTGTTTTGGTCAATTTCTTTGATCATTTCATTAAGATGGTTGTCACCTATGCCAAAATCTTTACATGCTTGTGAGAGACCATCGATGGTGATGTAACCAGTCCCGTCTTTGTCAAAGAAGGAGAAAGCATTCCTCAAGTTCTCTCTCTCCAACTTATTCAAGTGAAGCGTCGCAGCAAGAAATTCATTACAGTCTATTGTGCCACTGTTGTCCATGTCAGCCTATGGTAAATATAAAAAATGTACATAAAGCTTGTCAAATAGTTTTTATTATGAAAGGTATTTGTATACAGAGGTGTTTTGAATCCTAATACATACCTCTTCCATAAGAGCTTGCATCTCATACTCCATCAGATCCGAGCCTAATTTTCTTAAACCCTCTGTTAGTTCATTACATGTTATTGTCCCAGTACTGTCGGTGTCGAATATTTTGAACAGTTTCTTTAGTCCCCCTATCTCTTCTTCTGGCATCTTTTCTGCTATAACCTGCAATATATGGACAGTCAATACACAATATGCCAAATACCATAATATAGCTTATATATATAGAAAGTAATACTAGCTTACTCTCAAAGCCATCTTCTGTAATTTGTTCATTTCTGAGAATCGCTTTAGCCGCGATAAAACAGCAGACTCCGAAGGTTTGTCAGGAGGAACTCCATCACCAACAATCCATGGGTGACCTGAACACAGCCATTATTAATGTTAGTCACACTTTGACAAACATTTTGGTGATCCAATTTTGCTGAAAGTACTCACAGAGAACTTGATGAGCTGTAAATCTTTTCTTCGGATCACGATTTAGCATTTTATGTACAAGGTCTTTAGCACCACCAGAGATGGACGGCCATGGTTCAGATTTGAAATTCAGAGGTTTTTTTAAGATCTGATCGAAGATCTTCTTGAAGGTCTCAGCGGCATCTTTTGAAGCTGCCATGACAGAAAAATATAAAATTTTCAGGGTTTTGCAGAAAACTACCATAAACTATTTTTATCAGAGAAATGTATCATGAACTTTCAGAACTGTAAAAAATTACCATGAACTAATAAAAATTGTTGGTAGACAACTCATTTGTATCCATTAACCCACAAAGTTCATAAGGATAACAGAGAAGATGTATAAAATACACAAGGAAGTAAATCTAACTATCATCAGACATGGTACTTTAGTGAAAATATTTCATGGTATTTTTGCGAGATTTACTCTAAGAAGAGGTAAAAGCGGAGAGGTGGCATATTCAATTTACCTGAATAAAATGGAAAGTAACCGCTCAATAACAAGTATAAGATCACTCCAGCACTCCATACATCTGCCTCTCGGCCATATTTTTTTTCCAATACCTCCGGTGCAACATAATAAACAGTCCCATTTATTTTGTTGAATACATCACCTGGAAAAAATATTAAGTTATTTCACCATGAATTAAAACACGTTCCCATATCAACTATAATCAGTTCAGAAACATCATGAATGTGAGAAATGTAGTGAAGTGTAAATGTAACAATGAAATAACTCAATAAAAATTTTTAAAGAAAAATACAACTATTTTGAGCAATCCATAATAATCAAGCTTTCATCTAAATTAAGTGCTCATAAGACAATGTCAGTCTGCAGAACACAAACTTAATAAAGTGCTCATCGGAAAGAAAGACTTCCTCCTGAAAACTAGAAAATAAACAAAGCAAGAATTTATCCAAGATGTGCTAAATTATCGACATAGATCTATATCCACTAATTTAATTGACAAGAAAAAAACAAGTACATACTTTGTACAGTTAACAATTATCACAAGTTTTGTTTTTAAGGCATCTACAACCCTTCCGTTCCATATTTACTTCTATTGCTGAGGAACAAGACAAATACCTAAGAAAACTAAAACCGAATAGTTTCAATAAATTTCAACGCATTCACAGGATACTACACAAATAAACAAGAAACAAGAAGACCATAGTACCAATAAAAAATCTGACAAGTTTTATAAGAAAAGACTTCCTACTAGATCAGAGAAACTAAACAAAGCAAGAATTTGGCCAAGATGTGCACAATTATCTCTCATTTGTGTATCTTTTTGCCAAAAATGTTAATTTTCTTACAAAAAAAATTCTCTACCAACTAATTTAACAGGTAAGACATAGATAAGTGCATGATTATGCAATCCACATTTATCAGAAGTTTTGATTAAGACATTTACATCCCTTCACTTCAAGGTTATCAAAAAGAACAAAAACAATATAAACAAGAAGCAAGAGAAACTCAATACTAACCAGGCTTATAAAAGACCGACAACCCGAAATCAATAGCCTTGAGGGAAGCATCCTCAGCTTTACTCACAAACAAGAAATTCTCAAGCTTAAGATCTCCATGCATCACCCCAAGAGAATGGCAACCCTCCACAACTTCAACTATAGTCTTAATTAAACATGCAGCCTTCCTCTCATTAAAACGCTTATTCTCTTTAATCCTTCGAGACAATTCTCCACCTTCACAAAGCTCCATCACCAAATGAACAGACTCAGAATCTTCATAAGTTTCCCTGATTCTGACCACATTTGAAAGCTCAGAGAGATGGTGCATGATCTCTATCTCATTCAGAACATCCTCATAGTCTTCTTTGCTATTCAGAGTGCTCTTTAGGATTGACTTGCAAGCGTATTGTTTGCCATTTGATTTGTCTGTGCAGAGGCAAGTAGTGCCAGATGAACCTCGGCCAATTTTCTCGCCAAGTGTATAATGCTCTGTGAGGTCTGGGGTCTTTCGAGGGAGAACAGAGGATGGCTTCGATGAAGGAGGAGGAGTTTGATCAGACTTGTTCATCTTGACCGAGATGAGAAACTGGGTTTCGCCAAGAAATGAGTGCTGAGATTGGTTTCTTGAAAAAGATTGGTTCTTGCTGATGGGTTCTCAGGCTGAGTCTGGAGAATGTGAGATATGGGTTTTATGAAGACTGGATTTTGATGGGGTTTTTGAAGTTGCAAGAATCTAATGGGTTCTGGTTTTTCGGTTTTGGTTTTTTTCCCCCTTCTTATGGGTTGTACTCTGTATGACTCTGTATGCTCACTGGAATAAAGAGAATTCTAGGATTATATATGACATCAGATTTTTGGTTCTGGTGATCCACTGGTTCACGATTAAGTGCGGAGAATAGAGTAAAAATTTGGGACTTGATTGTGGTTTCTTCTGAGAGGAAGTTGGGGCTAACGTGGTCTAGCAGAGCAGAGATCATGACCGTTATAAACAGTTAGCATCTGTGTTTAGGACCAAGAGTGAAGTTTACAAACAACGCCACACCCACCCCCCTACCAAAAAAAAAAAAAAAACCAACCCAAACCCCTACCAAAAAAAAAAAATTTGTTTGATCCGTTTGGAGATAACCACCCAAAATTTTGGAATTTTCCCTTAACCCCAAAACTTTCAGCAGTCCACAAAACCCCCCATAAGATTTCCAATATTTTCAGCAGTGCCCCCTATTTTAGTGGGGTTTCTTTTTTCAAACTTTGTCAAAAGTTCACCGGAGGTTTTATGAAAATAAAATTGAGAGAGTTGGGGTTTTTTTTCTGAACATAATAGATTGATTGGGAAAGTGCAATAGCAAGTCAGCATTCTGTAAACCTCCGGGATGAAAGCATAATCAGAAAAACCTCAAGTAAACAACACTGAAGATATATATATTTTTTAAATTTTATCAAAAGTCCACTAGAGGTTTTCTGAAAATAATTTTGAGAGTTGGGGTTTTTTCTGAACAACACAATTTCTCTGGAAAACAAACCCACAGAAGATGAAATTTAAGAGATGCACTGTTTGGAGTCTTGGGACAATGATCGACGAAATCATAATAAGTGAATAGTTTCATAAAATGGTAAGTTGAGATATACACTCCAGTATAAACAATTAGTTATAGCAGGGTCAATCTGCTTGCAAGTAAACAATCTTTTAACCATTTTTTTTATTTATTTCTTTCAGAAAGATGCATGAAGCATTCACTCAAATGAGCCTCCCCTGAAGTCCTGATCAAAATATCAGGATTGGGACAATCTGCTCTACATAATCTGCTATTGGAACTGTTGAAAATTATCAACAGTTCTTATCACAATACCAAAACAACATGATGCTATTTATTCAACTACTACATCATTTGTTCATTCAGGAAAGTATTCTTTAGTACATCATATAGTGCAGCTAACATGAGTTCATGTAAGCAGTTTCTAGCCACCGAAATTAACTAGTTACACAATGGCACGCTACCTAAAACTGTGCCCCAAAGTTACTTAATGCTCTGGATCTCTCAGAACATCACCTAGTTTTAGCATTTAGACTCTTCTGCATGGTTCTTCTTGCTTTCTCATCATACATGCGAACTCACTGTAATCTATCTGCCCATCCTGCAATTAAGAGAATTCATTAGAAATTAGTATAACGGATTCCTGAAAGTTTTGCATTAGGAGGGAACCTACATTGTTTTCGTCAATCTCTTTGATTAGTTCATCAAGATTGACATCCCCGGTGCCAAAATCTTTACAGGCTTGTGAGAGATCATCGACTGTAATGTAACCACTCCCGTCTTTGTCAAAGAAGGAGAAAGCTTTTATCAAGTTCTCCTCTCTCTCCAACTTATTTAGGTGAAGCGTTGTAGCGAGAAATTCATTACAGTCTATTGTCCCATTATTGTCTATATCAGCCTGTACCGTTTTAAGAGGTCATGGTTATAAATTAAAGCTGTACCAAAAAAAAAAAAAAAAAAACAGAAACAAAATCCTATAGAGGGTCTCTCTCAGCGCACATTATTGTCTATTAGTGCAGTTGTGATTGCAACTGATAGTGATTGTATTGATGGTGTACCCATATAGGAATTTTTTTGTCCAAAGAAACTTGTCGTCAAATACTTTTATTATGAAAGGGAACTTTATACAGAATTATACCGCGTCCATAAGAGCCTGGATCTCAGGCTCTTTTAGATCTGAGCCTACTCTTCTCAGACCCTCTTTTAGCTCATCAAATGTTATTGTACCACTATTTTCTGTGTCGAACATTTTGAACAATTTCTTTAGTCCCCCTATCTCTTCTTCTGATATCTTTTCTGCTATAACCTGCAACACATAAGCAGATAAAACATAACCAATATGTCAAATACCACAATCTGAGCTCTTAATTTGTAATAGTAGCGCAGATATAAAAAGTAATAATAGTAGCTTACTCTCAACGCCATCTTCTTTAATTTGTTCATTGCTGAGAACCGCTTCATTCGTGATAAAACAGCAGAGTCCAATGGTTTCTCAGGAGCCACTCCCTCACCAATGATCCATGGGTGACCTGCACGTAGACGTGTGATAACTTCAACCACACTTAACAAATATTTGATGATTAAAACTCACAAAGTACTCACAGAGAACTTGATGAGCTGTAGATCTTTTCTTTGGATCACGATCTAGCATTCTAACTATGAGGTCTTTAGCGCTGTTGGAAATGGGCTGCCATGGTTGAGATTCCAAATCCAAATTCCCTCGTAAGATATGCTTGAATATCGCATTGTTATCATCTGAATGTAACATGAGAGGTAAATAAGGCATTTGTGTCGAACAAAAAGGGTAAACATCACGAAAAGTCCCCTGAACTTTAGGTAGTTTTGCCCAAAACTCCCCTCAACTTTATAAATAAGAGAGACCTATGACAGCTAGTTAAGTTGCCGCATGTACACAGATGGCATATTTCGGACAATGTTGCCCTTATGCGCTTTAACCGTAGTGAGAGAGTTTCTCAGATTAGGATATGTAGAGAGTAACGAGGATAAGTAGACATTTACCCTTCACACTAATACATTTATGATGATTTTCAGTAATTCAGACAGATTTTGTATAATTTTGAAAGTTCAGGGTGGTTTTCTCAACTTTTCTCAAGTTCACGATGGTTTTGTTCAAAACTTCCAAAGGTTCAGGGGTTTGGTAGTATTTAGCGATAACATGAGATGGTACCACATTAAATATACCTCCCCCAAAGGGAAAAACACCGCTCAATAAAATGTATAAAATCACTCCAGCACTCCATATATCTGCCTCTGGACCATAATGTTCATACACAACCTCCGGCGCAAGATAGGAAGGACTCCCAACAAGATCACGGAATATTTCACCTGAACAAATATAAGGGTTAGTAAAACCTGTAAAAAATTATTTCACTTATATATTAAACATGTTCTGAAAGCCCAAACATATTTCAAATTTAACTAGTTCAGAAATGTCATGGGAACTCATAGATGGAGATATGTTGTAAATGTGTAACTGAAAATTTCACTGACCGTATATGCATACCAAAAGAATTTTAAACAAAAGTACAATCGAATATTGCTCAACCTAAGAACACAAACAAAATAACTAGGGTTGTTTGGGGAAGAAGGACTTCTTCTAAGACCAAGAAAGCAAACAAAGCAAGAATTTATCCAAGATGTCTGGATTGTCAACATAATTCTCTAGAAACTAATTTAACTCATAAGACATAAATATGTATATAATTGTATGGTTGACAATTATCATACGTACTGGTTAAGACATCTACACCCTTTCTCTGCAAGATTTTCCTCTATTGCTCAGAAGCAAAATCAGTAACAAAAAACAACCAAAACCCAGAATTTTCAATCAAGTTCAACGCATTCATGGCAAACTACACTAGAAGTATGAGAAGCAAGGAAAACACAATACCAAGAACAAAAAAATTCTACTAACTAACTTAACTGATTTAAGTCATATGCATTCCTTCCCTTCAAGATAAACAAAAAACAACTAAACCCAAATGTGACGTTTTACACAAATAAACAAGAAACATGAAAACCTTAATACCAACCAGGCCTATAAAAAGCCGACAACCCAAAATCAATAGCTTTGAGTGCAGCATCCTCATCATTACTCACAAACAAGAAATTCTCAGGCTTAAGATCTCTATGCATCACCCCAAGAGAATGGCAACCCTCCACAACTTCAATTATCGTCTTAATCAAGCGTGCAGCCTTCTTCTCGCTATAAGGGCCCTTGTCCATAATCCATTTAAGGAGTTCTCCACCTTCACAAAGCTCCATCACCAAATGAACAGACTCAGAATCCTCATAAGTATCTCTGATTCTGACCACATTTGAAAGATCAGAGACATGGTGCATTATCTCTATCTCTCTCAAATGAACCCTGTATTCTCTTTTTCCACTCTTTGAAATTGACTTGCAAGCATAATCTTTGCCATTTGACTTATCAGTGCAGAGGTAAACATCACCATATGTACCTTTGCCAAGCTTCTTGCCTACTGTATAATGCTCTCTGAGTTTTGGTGTCTTGCGATGGAGAACAGAGGATGGGTTTGATGAAGAAGAAGAGGAAGGAGTTTGATCAGATTTCTTCATCTTGAACAAAACAAGGACGTGGGTTTTGCCAATAAATGAGTGCTGAGATTGGTTTCTTGAAAAAGATTGGTTCTTGCTGATGAGTTTTCAGGCTGAGTTTGAAGAATGTGAGATATGGGTTTTATGAAGATTGGATTTTGTTGGGGTCTCAAAAGGGTTCTGGGCTTTTGTTGTTGTTTTTATTTTTTTTAATGGATTTAATGACGTGCGACTTTGTCTTTATATTTTATATTTATATATGGAATTAAATAAAGAGACGAGGGGAGTTTGGGTTCTGGTGATCCGCTGGGTTATGATTAGTAGAGGAGATTTGGGACCAAAACTGAGGATTTAGGTTGTGGTTTATTTGGATATGATTCATGAAGCTGGGGTTAAGGTGGTCAAGCAGTGAGAAACGAGTGTGGCAGTTATATACAGTTTACATAAGTTTTTAGATTAAAGTGTTGTTTATTAATTTAATTTAAATAGTAGTTTTTCGTTGGCTGACTGCCAATTGCAATTTATTTTAGAAGATTTTGGCCATCATTCTACAGTTTCCTATGATTACCGTTCTTAATTTTTTTTTAATTATTGAGGGTTGCAATTACATTATGTGCTAAAAAGCAGTTTCTTTTTTTATTTTTGACCAAAAAAACAAATAGGTAAATAAGAAGTCTCAAATTTAAGAAAATCACTCGGTCAAATTCAAAGCTGAAGTTATTGATAATATTCGATAGGTGAAATTGATCTATTAAATATATGAATATTAACTGTTATAAACTAATAATGGAGGATGAGAAATCATTCTCTCTTTATTCTTATCTTTTTCTTTTACCTTTTGATTTAAAACGTAGTAGGCCATAAATTTATCCCTACAGATTTACCATACATTTCATTCTATGGCGTTTGGTAGCGTGTGACTAGAGTGTTTGTAGGTACAGTTACATGCAACTGGGTTAATTTTACTTAGTGTTAAGTGTTTGTTTGGTTGCAATTGCAACTTAGTATTACAGTTGCAACAACAGCTGTGAAATACCTTTTAGTTACAACATATGACTTACATCCAAAATGGACGTCACTCACAGTTAGAAACCAAGTCAAATAAAAAAAAAATCAAAACCATTATTTGATATTTTAAAAATCTAAAAAATTCATAAATATTTAAAACAAAATTTTAAAAATTATTATTATTATTTCTTTGAAAACTTTAAAAATAAATTATTTTGAAAAATAACTTTTAAGAACATTTTTGGAAAAAGTAGTTTTTTGTAAAATAATTGTAAATAATATTTTTGAAAAATATGATTCTTCTAAAAATGTGAAAATATATTTATTCTTGGGAGACATATTAATTTTAAAAAAAATATTATTTTAAATATTTTTTGCCTTGAATAATATTAATTATTCTTAGTTAAACATTTGGATATTATTTTTTAATATTGTTTTTTAAAAATATTTTCTTTCAAAAAATTTATGAGAAAGTATTTTTACATTTTAAAAATATGTTAACTATGAAAAATTATTTAATTTACCAAAAAAGTATTGTCTTCATATGACATAATATTATTTACAAGAATTATTATTTTACAAAAATAAAATTTTTAAATAAAATATTATTTTATTCAAATAATAAGTTTTACAAAAATATTCTTTTTTTAAAAAAGTATTACTTTGCCAAAATTATTTTTTTGATTTTCAAATCAATTACTTTTTAAAAATTTAAATGTTTCAAAAATGTTAAGAGAGTTAATAATTATATCAATTTAATAAAAATAAAAAATGAGTTACGTATATAAAGTTACAAGCAGAATCAAACAGGTGCAACAGCAAGTTGTAAATTTTTACTATATGAACCAAATAATTGTAAGCATGTTAGAATAGTTGCAAGATCGTCTCAGTTGCATGCAAGTGACACATTACAACTATTGTCGTAAATTACCAAACACCTATAAATCTTTTTCTTTAGATTTCATAGATAATATTTTATTCTACTAGATTTCACAAGTAACTTCTTCCTCCTTGAATTTCATAATTCCTATTGACCAACAACCTGATGATTATTGGTCTGAACATTATATGTGAAATTTAATAGAATAAGAGTATCATCTACATAATCTATTGTAGGTTTGTAATGAATTTTTTTATTAAGCGAGGCATTTTTTTTACGACGGATATTATATTCTAACTTACTGATATCTACTGTTTTTTTTTTAAATTCATTGTACTCATATTATATACTAATTGTTCAACGGAATTTATAAAAGGCTAATACACATTATCTATTTAATTACATAAAGCACTTAAGCCCAAGAGACTGTAAAATCTGTACGGTACTTACAGGTTGAAATCGAACATCCACGTGTGAGCAAACTATCGTCTCAAAGCACTTGAAACAGAAGGCCAACTAAACTTCAAAACACCAATATTACATGTAAAGGATACAAATATTAGAGTATTTAACATGTATATAAAAGATCACATAGTAATACTAGAATATTATCCATATGATACGCACATTATGTATAAAAAAACGGTAACATAGTTCATGTTGATTTTCTTTTTCCCTCAGCTTATTTTAGAATATTTATGGGAGAACAGCCATCCTGTGAAGACTACCAAGTCCGGAGTGCAGATGGATCCTCCCACTTGGAGAAACCAGTAGAACATTGGGATGCTCTGCAAAATAAAAAAGAAATGTAAGAACAAAGAACCGTTCTCAATTGTGAAGTTGAACATAAAGTGGTAAAGACTCGAAGAAACACAATTCGCGCAGATGCGCCAACACAGAAATCGCGCAGAACAAAAACAAGGAGAGCACCTCGTGATAAAGTGTCACTAGTAACGTTCTATGATTAGGGGTGCAAATGGATTTAATGTGACACCACATCCTAATGTGCTGACTGACCAGGAAATAGATTTGGATACAAACATGGTTTGTGTAAAGGAAAATTCATAATCCCTATTCATCAAAATCGGATACATACATGGAATGAATCACGAGTACGAAATGGTTACAAGGAAAATTGATAAAAAGAAAAAAGGAATATAGGCCATGTGAATACACTGCTCAAGAAATCCAAATTTTCTCAGTTCAGAGTTGATCAATATATATGACATTGACATATTAAGTTAGATCTCTGGATCACCAAAATAATCTCAAAATACGATCTCAGATTCACTAAAGTTAAAATACTTTTAACAGCTTGAATACATATATCAGGATATAGACACATATACATATATCTTATTTATATTCACGTCCCTATCAGTATCCTTCAAAAATTAAAAAAGATACTTGCATCCGTATCCATTTCCTATCGAATATCTATAAAAGGTACAAATAATCAAAAAAAATTCTTCCCAATCTTTGCAATGAAGCAGACAGGCACTCATCCAGCGCTTTCCACCTCCATATAACAATATAACAACAAGGCAACAGTTTAATGACAAGATGATTATATTCCTAGTGGCAATACGGTTCTCATAAAAATTATATCTTCCCCATTTTATTCAATGCTTGGGTGTGAAAACACTTTGAATAATACCTGAAATATATCGACAATGAAGTTAGGTAGGATGCAAAGCAGAATTTGGTGTTTCCATATTTATATTTGTTTTCCCTTTCAGTTGATATGGATGTAGTACTAACTTGGATATCAATTAGAACATTAACATTCAGCAAAAAAAGGTGGACTTTGATTGACAAAAATATATACTATATACTCTCAAATGGAACCAAACTCAAGAGGAAATAAGATCCAATCCTTAACTAAAGGTAAGGAAAACACAAAAGTCAATATTAGCTAGACTTTTGATTATTTGGGGGTGTGTATTTTTATGTAACAACCACTTTTGATTAATTTAGCTGGCTGGATTACCTTTGTGGTAGTCCATCCTTTTTCTCAAAAAAAATATATATATATATATTAGCTAGACTTGTTATTAATCATGATGTTTTGTCATTAATACTACATGCACATAACCTGGTTTCACCCAATGATACAAATGTCTGAATTTGTTCACTCAATCTCCAAGTCATACAGAGCATAAAGGCTTTCAGATTTCACTAACAGGTTCATCGAATCCCTCACCTTTTCTCAAAAATCTTGCACAATTCTATCAAATCACTACAGTATAATGATAAAACCCCAATAAATCCGATAAAGTTTTCATCTTTTCCTTCTCAATCAGAAAGAAGAGAGGGAAGAAACTCACTTGAGAGATCAGAGGCCTGTTGTGGAGTAAGCTTAGCAGAGAACCCACTCGCTGCTTGCTTGTAATGATACACCACCGCATCCTTGGCTGCCTCCTCACTGCAACCAAACTCATCAGCAAAATCAATCGAGACCCAAATCACCAAAAATCGGAAAACCCTAACCCTAACCCTAACCCTACAAAGGAACGCCAACGAACCTGCCCAGCACTGAAGCGAGGATCCGCAGGTGGTAGGACTCCGGCTGCTCCTGGCCGT